CAAAATATGGTCAAGAAGATGTGAGCAAACTACTCAGGGCTGGTAAACGGGGTCGTCGAGAATGATCTCTTCAACCTGGTTCACCCGCTCTAAGTAATTTTTCAGACGCTAGCCATTTACTTTGAATATTCTCCCATCGGTCGGGTCTTCAACCTCAACAGCACCATTGGGAAAAACGCGTTTCACTACGAACAGGCCAGTCCACCGCGACCTCAACTTACCGGGGTAGAGATGCAGACGGGAATCATAGAGATGAACCCGCTGATTCGGCTCAGAATTCTTCCTCAGGATCTGCTTATCATGAGCCGCTTTCATTTTAGCCTTGTAGATCCTGGAATTATCATAGGCATCGTTCCTTAACTCCTCGATTTCGGAAAGCTGGAGCTTTCGATTGACACCTGTAGCGCTGAGATTGAAGTTGAGGGCCTTGGTAGCCTAATAAGCCTTATGTTCGAGCTCTACAGTTAAATGACAGGCTTTTCCAAAGATAAGCCTGTAGGGAGACATCCCAAGTTGGGTTTTGTAAGCAGTATGGTATGCCCAAAGTGCGTCCGGAAGGCGCATAGACCAATCCTTGTGATCGGGATTAACCGTCTTTTCTAGAATTTTCTTAATCTCCCTATTGGCCAACTCAGCCTGGCCATTTGTCTGTGGGTGATAGGCAGTTGAAACTTTATGAACCACACCGTACTTACGCATCAGAGCCTCAAAAGAACGGTTGCAGAAATGGGTGCCTTGATCACTGATGATGGCATGCGGCGTTCCAAATCGAGATAACACATTTTCCTTTAAGAACTTTACAACAGTTGTGTTATCGTTGCTCCGGCACGCCACGGTTTCTACCCACTTAGACACGTAATCCACAACGAGGAGTATGTAAAGGAATCCATAAGAAGGTAGAAATGGTCCCATAAAATCTATTCCCCAGCAATCGAATATTTCTATTACGAGAATCGGGTTCAAGGGCATCATATGGCGATGGGACAGAGCACCTAGCTTTTGGCACCTCTCACAGGAACGATAGAAGTCATTGGTGTCCTTGAATAAAGTGGGCCAATAGAGACCACACTGCAAGATTTTCGCGGCGGTCTTCTTCACAGAAAAATGACCGCCACATGCATAGTTGTGGCAAAAGTTCAGGACACTAGACACTTCATCATCCGGGATGCATCGTCTTCTAATATGGTCAAGGTAGTACTTAAAAAGATAGGGGTCATCCCAATAAAAGTTACGAACCTCGACCAGAAACTTCTTCTTGTCTTGTGCACCCCAGGTAGATGGAATCTCGCCCGTCACCAAGTAGTTAACAATGTTCGCATACCATGGCATCTTAGTGACGGCGAAGAGATGTTCATCGGGGAAGTCATCTCTAATAGCAGGAATTTCGGTGGAATCATTAAAGTAAAGACGAGATAAGTGGTCCGCCGCCACATTTTCGACTCCCTTCTTGTCCTTGATTGTCAAGTTAAATTCCTACAGGAGAAGGATCCACCTAATTAAACGCGCCTTAGCATCCTTTTTGGAGAGAAGCTATTTAAGGGCGGCATGATCTGTGAAGATGGTGATAGGTGAACCAATCAGATATGCACGGAACTTGTCGAGAGCAAATACTACAGCAAGCAACTCTTTTTCAGTAGTAGAGTAGTTCATTTAAGCACTATTCAAAGTACGGCTTGTGTAGTAGACAACGAAAGGCTTCCCCTCCCTCCGTTGACCAAGAACGGCCCCCACAGCGTAGTTACTTGCGTCACACATGATCTCGAAAGGTAAGCTCCAATCTGGTGACTGCATAATAGGGGCAGAAGTCAGTTTTGCGATGAGTGTTCGGAATGCATCCTCACACTCTTGTGTCCAGTTGAACACAACATCTTTTGCTAGGAGGTTGCTTAGTGGTCTCGCTATAGATGAAAAATTCTGAATGAACCTCTTGTAGAATCCGGCGTGCCCCAGAAAAGATCAGACATCTTTAACGGCCTTGGGGGAGGGCAGGTTGGAAATGAGTTCAACCTTAGAGCGGTCGACCTCGATTCCTCTTTCAGAAATAATATGCCCAAGAACTATGCCGGATGATACCACGAAATGATACTTCTCCCAATTGAGCACAAGACCCTTCTCTTCACATCTTTGTAGAACAGCTTCTAAGTTGAGAAGGCATGTGTCGAATGAATCTCTGAAGACTGTCAAATCATCCATGAACACTTCCATGCATTTTTTGATCATGTCGCTGAAAATGCTCATCATACACCTCTGAAATGTGGCAGGTGCATTACACAATCCAAATGGCATTCGCTGAAAGGCATAAGTGCCAAAAGGACATGTGAATGTTGTCTTATCCTGATCTTCTAATGCTATCTCTATCTGATAATATCCTGAATAGCCATCGAGAAAGCAATAGAAAGGATGGCCTGCTACTCGTTCTAGGATTTGATCGATGAATAAAAGTGGAAAATGGTCTTTGCGAATGGCGGCGTTAAGCTTGCGATAGTCAATACACATGCGCCAACCAGTCACGACCTTTGTGGGAACTAGAGCCCCTTTCTCATTTTCCACCACAGTGACCCCCGATTTCTTTGGCACTACCTGGGTCGGACTAACCCACTTGCTATCAGCAACAGGATAAATGATGCCAGCATCTAACAGCTTGAGAACCTCATTCTTCACCACTTCTTTCATTGTTGAATTCAATCTTCTTTGAGGATCTCTTCGCGGGTTAGCTCCTTCTTCCAAATGAATATAATGGGAGCAAATCAAAGGATTGATCCCTTTAATATCAGGAATCATCCAACCCAATGCAGATCTATGCTTTTGCAGCATGTTGATCAACCGCTGCTCTTGTGATGCATCGAGTTTGGAAGAAATGATAACAGGAAAGGTATCGCCGACTCCCAAAAATGCATGTTTCAATCCTTCAGGTAGTTGAGCAAGTTTCACTGTTGGGGTCTCTTCGATGGAAGGCTTTGGTTTCTCTCTCCCTTACGGAAGTTCCTCGAAACACAATTGCTTAAAATTAATTCCTCTGTCTTGTGAGTTGTTGAAAATGGCAGAAATGTTAGCCAACTCACAAGGACCGGCACAGTTGCTTAAACTTAATTCCTCTGTCCTGTGAGTTGTTAAAAATGGCAGAAATGTTAGCCAACTCACAAGGACCGAAACTTTCAGATTCAGAACTTTGGAGGAGATTTTCAAGATCTTCAGAGTTGCTTTGTAGCAGAACCTCCTCCTCGACAAGTGTGTCGATCAGGAATGTTTGGTGACACTCATCATCACCTTGTGGCTATTTTACAATGTTGAAAACATTTACCTCGAGAGTCATATTCCCAAAAGAGATCTTCATTAGACCATTTCTACAATTAATTAGAGCATTTGCTGTCGCGAGGAATGGTCTTCCAAGGATGATCGGGATTTTTGACTCCACATCAACCACTGACTGAGTGTCCAAAACAACAAAATCCACAGGATAGTAGAACTTATCAACTTGCAAAAACACATCTTCCACTATTCCTCGTGGTTTTTTAATAGATCGATCGGCCAGTTGCAGAACCACAGATGTGGGCTTAATATCGCCAAGACCTAATTGCGAGTAGACTGAATAAGGCATGAGGTTAACACTCGATCCTAGGTCTAACAATGCTTGGCCGAATTCGCGTGTCCCAATGGTGCAGGAAATGGTGGGACAGCCAGGATCTTTGTACTTCAGCGGTGTCTTCTGCTCAATCACCGCACTCACTTGTTCTGTCAAGAATGCAGTCTTCTTGACATGGTGCTTTCTCTTTATAGTGCACAGATCCTTTATAACCTTGGCGTAAGCCGGCACTTGCTTGATCACATGTAGTAAGGGAAGATTGATCTTCAATTGTGTCAAATGCTCCAGGATCTCACTTTAATTTTCCGGCACTTTCCCAGCAGGTCGGAGAGCTTGGGGGAAGGAAACCTTTACCGAAATTTTTGTTCACTCTTCTTTCTCCTGAGCCGATTCTTCATTACTCAAAATGGTAATACTTGTTGATGGCGTGTCTGAATTCTTACCACTTCGAGTAGTGATGACGTTAACTTCCTTGATATTTTGTCCTTCAGAGTTGGAAGTTTGAGCCATGTTTTGTCCCCTCAAATTAGACCGGGCTTGTGATGGAAATCTACCGCGCTCTTGAACGGTTAAAGCTTCTGTCAGCTTTGTGATCTGACTTTTTATTTCCTTGTTCTCTTCCACCAGCTGCGTGAGCATTGAATCAACCCTTTGATTCGTCTTATTTTGCGCGTCCAGTGATGGTAATCTACCGCGCTCTTGAATGGTTAAAGCTTCTGTCAGCTTTGTGATCTGACTTTTTATTTCATTGTTCTCTTCCACTAGCTGCGTGAGCATTGAATCAACCCTTTGATTCGTCTTATTTCATTGTTCTCTTCCACCAGCTGCGTGAGCAAAATATGTCCTTAGTGGTTGAGATTGTTGCTCTGATCTCCATTGCCCTCCAGATGATTGTGCTTGTTGGTTCGAATCTCGCCAACCAAAGTTCGGGTGGTTTTTCCAACCAGGATTGTAAGATTCTGAGAAAGGTCCGTAAGGCTTCTTGTATGTGCCCAATGCATTGCACTGCTCCTCATATACCCCTCTCATTTCACTTAAAGTGTGGTAATCCTGAGTTAGGTGGCCCATTCCACCACAACCTAAACAAGGCTCATGTGTCTCTGTCCTTGCCACCATGTAGGGTCCTTTACTATCTTTACTTTTGAGGGCCTCAATTTGCTTCGTCAAAGCTTCAACTTGGGCCTTGAGGTTGTCCTCTTCCCTTAATTGATAAACTCCAACTGGTCGGGACCTACTGGTGCTCTCAGTAGCACTCGGTCCAGTCCAAGTATGAGCTTTCTCAGCTAACTCATTCAGGTACTCGATAGCTTCGTCAGGATCCTTTTGGAGAAAATCCCCATTGCACATCATCTCGACAAATTGGCGCTCTCAGATTGTGAGTCCATCGTAGAAATAGCTTACGAGGCGCCAACTTTCATATCCATGGTGAGGACATGGATTTAACAGATCTTTAAAACGCTCCCAAGCTTGATAGAGGGTTTCGTTTTCCTTCTGAGCGAAATTTGAGATTTGTCGTTTTAAATTGTTGGTCTTATGGTGTGGGAAATACTTGTTGAAGAATGTCATCGTCATTTCTTCACACGTACCAATAGACCTAGGCCTAAGAGAATACAGCCAGCTTTTGGCCTTGTCCTTCATAGAGAAAGGGAAAAACTTCAATCTGACAGTGTTTGCGGCCTCAACACGGCTGTGAAAGGTGGCCACCACCTCTTTAAACTCTTGGATGTGTACATAGGGGTTCTCGTTCTCTAATCCGTGAAAGGTTGGGAGAAGCGCAATCATGCCCGGCTTAAAATCCGTAGGCGGTGCATTTTGTGGGAACATGATGCAAGATGGGGTGGCCGTGCGCGTTGGGTACAAGTAATCTTGCAACGTCCTCTGCTGAACTTCCTCGTGTTGTGCCATTGCGAATAGATTTTGAAATGTGAATTCCAACGACGAGTGCAAAGACGGAGACGTAGAAGATGAGTCGGATAGAATTTCACTAGGGGTTTCTAAATCTGGACGTTGAGCGAATCTCCCTAGCTTGTCTCTATACCGATGCATTCACCCTAAGCGGCTTTTTTTTTAAAAAAAAATTTTTTTGGTTTTTTTTTATTATTTTTAATCAAAAAGAAAATAATTATATAGTAACGTAAATTGTAACTACCGGGAGTGCTCCCAGGAAAGACTATAGCTCTTGGCTCAATGAATAGTCTCTTACACAGAGCAACGTTCCCAGGAAAGATTGGTGGGGCGAGGCCCACTTAAGTACCAACTTTCCTAGACAGAACTCCCTCAGATTGTACTTTCCACGTAACCACAATTATTCTCAAAATCAATTATTAAATTTTATTGAGTAAATTATGAAATGTAATCTAATTAATGGAAACTATTCCTAAAGTCAAAAGCCTAAATCTACCAAATTATGAAAATTCTAGATTAGGAATCTAAAGTAGTCAATTAATTACAATCTGAATTATAATCCTAAGAATTAATGAAAACTATAAAAGGAAAAATTAAATTAGGCAACAATATAATAGTTAACAATTAAATTACTCAAACATGGAAACAAAATAAAATCCTAATCTATCAAAAATAAAAGATTACAAAAATCAAATCACAATTAATTTTAAAACTAAAAGGGAAAATAAAATTAGCAATAAAAATAAATAAATCCTAAAAGTATGAGATTCTTTTTTTTTAGCAACCAAAATTACAGAAATAAAAAAAAAATATGATAAGGGAAACTTTTTTTTAACAACACGACTAAAAAGAAAATGAAACGGGTAAGTAAAACTAAAAAGGTAACTTTTTTTTTTTTGAAATAAGAAACGAGAAGATGAATATCAAATCAAGTCAAGTGTGTTGCAGCAATATATAATACTAAGTGAATACATGCGGAAACTTGCAGCAACTTTTACCTTCTTGTTTTTTTTTTTTTTTTTTTTTCATATAAATATATATATATATATATATAGGCTAACAATCAAATCACGAAATTTTTTTTTTTTGTGAGTTAAGAAATAGATCACACAAGCCAAAGAAAAATAAACAAAGTAAAATAAAAATACAGAGAATATATACTTACCTCTTTGACTCAAAATCTGCTGATCACTCTTATTAGTAGCAGCTCCCCGGCAACAGCGCCAAAATTTGATTAACGCCCAAAAGTGATATTCACAAGCGGTCAATTGTAGCACAGAAGGGCGGTCGTATCCACAGAGAGATAACAAAATAACAAGAATGATTAACAGAATAAGAGTGTTAGAGAAAAGTGAATTAAAGAAAAAGAATAGTTTTTGAGATTTTTGTTGCAAATAAAATAAAAAGGAGAAAATCTATATGAAGAAAACGGTAAGGTGTCGAGAATCCCTAATGCTTCGTTCACCAATT